ACCTGCCACTGCCCCCACACAACACAAAGCCCCTCCCCACACAGCGCTGCTGTCCCCCCCAACCCTCACAGCCCTTGTCCCTCAGTACTACAAGCTCGCTATATTGGTGCAGTAAAGGTGCCCCCAAATCCCAGCCTGAGCCCCTCACAGCCCCCCCACCAATGTGCCCTGAATGCCCCTGTGCTCTCAGAGCTGCTGTCCCGAGCGGGCCAGGCCCAAGGAGCCAATCACATTAATGAGCTCAGACAGCTCAGAGCAATTTGGCACCAGGAGCTCACAGATGGACACCAGCAGCAAACCCTGCAGACCAGGGGTGCCCCCCCCAGAACCACGGGGGGCCAGGCACTCAGCACCCTATGGCCCCACATATTGGGCACCCCCCTTCCCAGCACTGCTCAGCACCCCACGGCTCCACAGGCCGGGTACCCCCCCAGCACCACGGGGAGCCCAGCGCTCAGCACCCCACGGCCCCGCAGGCCGAGTACCCCCCCACCGCCACGGGGAGCCCAGCGCTCAGCACCCCATGGCCCCACAGGCCAGGCACCACCTCCCAGCATCCCACAGGCTGGGCACCTCCTTCCCAGCACCCCACAGCCCTGCAAGTTGACATCTCCTTCCCAGCACCACGGGGGGGGGGCCAGCGCTCAGCAACCCACAGCCCCGCAGGCTGGGCACCATCCCCCAGCACCCCACGGCCCCACAGATTGGCCCCTCCTGTTAACACCCACGTAGCCGTAGGACAAAAAGGAGGTTAGTGGGTTACAGATTATTGTAATAAACCATAAACTCAGTGTTTTTATTGAGACCATGACTTTTAGTGTCTAGTAAAGTTATGAATTAAGGTCCCAGGCTTGTCTTTCAGAAGTGTTGAGGAAGTTTCCTTTGAGGATGAGGAAGGAGAGTTCACATAAAGAGTCACCATGCTGTGAAAAGTGTTCACCCACAGCCAAGGGTGTTTTTGTCTTTTATCGTTTTCCTCTGTGAGTTCATTCGAGAGCGCAGTGACTGTCTGGTTTCACCCGCACAGTAATTGTTGGGGCGGTTAGTGCACATGTTGTGATAGACGTGTAGGATCCATGGATCTGGAAAGGTGGGTTGGGGTGGAGATATGGCTGCAGGTTTTGAATCTGTTGTTCTGGCAGGGTCTGGTGCTGCTTTGAGTTGGTGGGTCCTGCTCTGTGGGGAGCTTGCCTCTTATGATGATCTTGGAGAGGCTGGGGGGTTGTTTGAAGGCCAGAAGAGGGGGTTCAGGAAAGATTTCTTTCAGAGTGGGGGCCCCATCGAGTAAGGATTGTAGTTACCATATGGGTGCCTGTGTGGGGGTAGGTGACAACTAGAGGTGTGCAGTCGGAGCAGATTTATTTCTGCCTGTTCCATGGTGTGTGATCTACTTCCCTGGTGGAGTGTCCTTGTTTGATGAAGGTGGTTTTGAGTGTGTTAAGGTGTGTATCCTGGACTCTCTTCACAGCATATTCTGTGGTATCTGAGAGCCTGGCTGTAGCTAACAGATTTCTTGGTGTTTGGGGTGGTTACAGGATCTGTGAAGGTAGGTGTGGGGATCCGTGGGTTTCCTGTGTATAGTTGGCTGTAGAGTTCCATTGCTGAAGCGGATTGTGGTGTTCAGGAAGTTGATGCTGGTGTGGGAGCATTCTTGAGAGAGTTTAATGGACAGGGATGGGAGGGGGAGTGGCTGCTGAAGTTGTGGTGGAAACCTATGAGGGAGTTTAGGTTGTCTGTCCAGAGGATGAAAATATCATGGATGTATCTCAGGTATATCATTGGCTTTTGTGGTGCATTTGTCCAGAAATTCTTCTCCATAGGGCCCCATGAAGAGGTTGGCATATTGGGGAACCATCCTAGCGTCCATGGCTGTTCCCATGGTTTTTGACAAAGTGTTGTTGAATGAGAACTGTTCTGGGTGAGGATGAAAGGGATGAAGTTGTTGATGTGCTTGGGATGGACAGCTGAGGGTTGTCCATTGTCTTGTAGATATTTGAGGCAAGCACCTAGGCCATCACAGTGAGGGATAGTGGTGTGTAGGGAGGTGACATACATGGTGACAAGGGTGGTGTTCAGAGGGAGGCTGTTATTGTTGCAGAATTTCTGGAGGAAGTCTATTGTGCCCTGGGGGAAGCCGGACCTTTGTGTACCGAGTGGTTTGAGGATGGTTTCTAGGAGTTCGGATATTCCTTCAGTAAGAGTGCCAGGGCTGACAGGTCTGCCTGAGTTCCCTCATTTGTGCATCTTGGGAAGCACACAGAAGGTCCCTGGGGTGGGTTTATGGGGGATGAAGTTGTAGAGTTTCCCTGGGAGTTGTTTGGGGAAGGATTTGATTATATCCTTAAATTCCTGGGTGAATTGTGGTGTGGGGTCATCTTTGAGTACTTTATAGCAGTTGGTGTCAGAGAGCTGTCGGTTGGCCTCTCTCTATCTGCTACTCTGATCACTATCTGATATTGTCCTCTCAGCAGTGGAGAGGCTGGGGTGGATGTGATGTTTGTTGATTGCAGAGTCATTTTTTCCCCTGAAGCAAGCAATGTAATGATCAAATGTGTGGTTTTGTCCACTGTGGGGTGTCCAGGCGGGCTCCCCACAGAGCAGGACACACCAACTCAAAGTGGCACCAGACGCTGCCACAACAACAGATGCAAAACCTGCACCCCTAGCTCCACTGCTATGATGGTCCCTACTCCACACAACACACCTTTCAAGGTCCATGGGTCCTGGACATGCCTAGCACAATACATGGTGTAACCTCATCCAGTGCACTAAACGCCCCAATAATATTAATGCGGGTGAAACCAGACAATCCCTACGCTCGTGTCATAACTATAAAGGAAGGGGTAACAGCTCTCCTGTGTACAGAGACTCCAAATCCTTTTACCTGTAAAGGGTTAAGAAGCTCGGGTAACCTGTCTGACACCTGACCCTAAGGACCAATAAGGGGACAAGATACTTTCAAATCTTGGGGGGGGGGAAAGGCTTTTGTTTTGTGTCCTTTGTTTAAGGGGTTGTTCGCTCTTGGGACTGAGAGGGACCAGACATCAATCCAGGTTCTCCCCATCTTTCTAAACAAGTCTCTCCTATTTCAAACTTGTAAGTAAAAAGCCAGGCAAGGCGTCTTAGATTTATTTTGTTTTCTCAACTTGTAAATGTACCTTTTACCAGAGTGTTTATCTTTGTTTGCTGTACTTTGAACCTAAGACAGAGGGGGGTCCTCTGAGCTCTTTAAGTTTGATTACCCTGTAAAGTTATTTTCCATACTGATTTTACAGAGATGATTTTTACCTTTTTCTTTAATTAAAAGCCTTCTTTTTAAGAACCTGATTGATTTCTCTTTGTTTTAAGATCCAAGGGGGTTTGGATCTGTATTCACCAGGAGTTGGTGAAAGGAAGGAGGGGGGAAGGGTCAATTTCTCCTTGTTTTAAGATCCAAGGAGTGTGGATCTGTATTCACCAGGGAATTGGTGAAGGTCTCTCAAGGCTCCCCAGGGAAGGGAATTCTTGAGATGGTGGCAGCGGACCAGAGCTAAGCTGGTAGATAAGCTTAGAAGTTTTCATGCAGGCCCCTACATTTGTACCCTAAAGTTCAAAGTGGGGATACAGCCTTGACAGCTCGCGAATGAACTCACACAGAAAAATGATAAAAGACAAACAGCACATCACCCGTGGGTGAACACTTTTCCCAGAATGATCACTCCGTACCTGACCTCCCAGGCCTTGTGCTCACAGGAAACCTGCACAACCCTTTCAAAAGATGAGCCTGGGAGCTTAAATTCATAACTTTACTAGACACTAAAAATCATGGTCTTAATAAAGACCCTGGATTTATGGCTTATTTCAACAATCTGTAACCCACTAACCCCCCTTTTTTATCCTCTGGCTACAGGGCTACACGGGCCACTTCACCTTGAATGGTCTCTTAGAACATGGAGAGACACAATATCCTGGGAACCACACAGCTACAATAGAATGTGTGTTAACTACTTATGCCAAACAATCTGGTCCACCTTTTATTTAGTTGTGACCCTCAGAACCTTTCCCAGCCCTGAAGAAGAGCTCTGTGTTGCTCAAAAGCTTGTCTCTCTCACCACCAGAAGTTGGTCCAATAAAACATATGAAAAACTATTTCACTAGAGAGTGGTAAAGCACTGGAATGGGTTACCTAGGGAGGTGGTGGAATCTCCTTCCTTAGAGGTTTTTAAGGTCAAGCTTGACCGAAGCCCTGCCTGGGATGATTTAGTTGGGGATTGGTCCTGCTTTGAGCAGGGGGTTGGACTTGATGACCTCCTGAGGTCCCTTCCAACCCTGATATTCTATGATCCACCTTGGCTCTCTAAAGTGCCAGGTAAGATTTAAGGCTATAAGTGCTACATTGGCGCATCTGGTGAAGAGGCTCTCTGCTGACGGGAGAGAGCTTAGGTTGGTGTAACTTACATCACTCAGGGGGGTGACTTATTCACATCCCT